ACGGAACCCTAATTCTTTTTCTAAAATAAAATTAGCCTAAGTTACTCCTTATAACATCAGCTATCTGCCAGTGAAAGTGCCGTCAAAATCGGTCCAGCCACTTCGGAGATTAGCCGGAACAAACAGACAGACAGACATACAGACAAAAATTATAAAAATTGTGTTTTTGTTTTAAGTACCGTATCCACGTCCATATGTATTTAGTAAAAAGCTGTTATTTTGATATTACAAACAGACACCTCAATTTTATTTATTTGTATAGATATGATAGCCAGATTCATAAGGAATAGTGTAGTCTGTCATCTAGCTTTAGGCCACACCTCTTAACAGCTAGACTTATATATTAATTTTTGTTAAACAAGTCTTAAGAAAAAGCGCTTCTGAACTGTTATGAACTGTTGTTCTGAACTGGCGTAATGATTAGTTATACGTAAATACAATGTTCTGCAAAAATTTTAATCTTTACTCTATCAAAAAAAAAAATCTGCGATACCATAGGCCAATTTCTTACACATAAGCCACAATAAGGTATTTTGTGACAAAAATATTGAAAATTAAAGTGAGTTATGAGCGTTATTATTAGCCATGGAATATTAATCCTTACGAACCAAAGTTAGGTTTTAATCAGTGGTAGAGCCACGCGGCAGCTTTTGCTGTCGCACGGATGGGCCGGCTCGCACCGGAGTGGTACCACGACCTCACAGAAAACCAGGCTGAAGTAGAGGTTTACCTCTGCGTTTCGCTTAGTGAGTGCAGGTGGCCGGAGGCCCTTTTTACTGGAAATGAGGCATTCCATCTTGGTCCTCACGGGTGACAACGCATCTACATTTTGATTTGTAATGGAGGATAGATGTAGATGTCTATGGGCCGCAGCAACCACTTACCATCAGGTGGACTGTGTGCTCGTTTGTTACCCTTATCCTATAAAAAAAAAGGTACTTCTTCATCAAGACAATTTTATGAAGATAAACTTTGCCCCTTATAGTATGTTATTAAGACGCATAGTTAAAGAGATAATGAAAAATTAAAATAATTCAACACTCGGTTCAGCCCGCGAACGACGCATCAAGAGAAACCAGCGGTGAACGCCTACGTGATTGATATACGCGAGTGAAACCGCAGGGCACTTCTAGTATTCTATATAAATTCCGACTACATCGGCAATTAAATACGGACTTCCTTAGATTTTTGGATTTATTTCTATGCTTGTGCTTCATTCTTGCATCCTAGCATCTTACCAAATTTCATGATTCTAGGTCAAGGGCAAGTACCCTATCAGTCTTATTACGAAACGAGATTTATTGATTGTCTCGGGTTTAAAGAAGAGGCTTAGTCACCAAAGAAGCCCTGTGTCGCCACGCCACAGTCTTCGCGATATTTGACGTTTGCTATCAAATTCCATATTTTACATCATAGCTCTCATATTTTCCACGAGACTTGAGTTTGTGTATTAAGATGGCAGTTTACTTTATTGTCCAAATTGACAATATTTAGAAGATAGTTAAAATTAACAGTACCTACCCTTAACCGACAAGCATGTATGCATAAATATATGAACGTTAAGGAGGTGAGAAAGATGTTTGGATCGTGCCAATAGGTAGTCTGTAGTATCTGATTACCCCTTTGGGTGTGTTTATGTATACGTATGTTACATGTTAATTTACGCATTTCAGTCTGTTTCAAAAAAGAAGTCCCTTCCCGGCTTCTTTATTTCAATAACACAATAACAGGCTCTAGTTTAAACCAATTAAAACTATTATCGTGTTCGCTAGGTTACGAGACACAAACATAAATGACCGTATCTTTTGTATACGTTGACCTAGCTTGTATTTTTAGGACTCTCCAAGGACCGTAGACCTAAGTATTTGATATAAGTTTCAATTTGACACCTTTACCCGTTCTTGAAAAGAGGGCATTGTGTCACAAATCCTATAAGCGTTAAGTTCTTTTCCTTTTGAGGTACAAATTCTTAAAAAAAGGACAGATATTAAATAAATTAGACGCCAGACATCTGTTAATCGATTCATACTAATATGACATATTATTCTCTTTTATCAATTTAAATTGTAGAAGTTGGGCTAAATTTTATTTGATACTAGCGTTTACCCACGCCTTCGTCCGATACACTATATAATACCACTATTAGCGGGTAATACCAATTAAACTATTAAAAAAACCACATCAAACTAAGTTTTTTACTATTTTATCGAAAAATATGTACATAAGAAAAATATCAGTTTACAACTAGCGATGCGCCACGGCTTCGCACAGGTGATTTCTGTATCTCGACAACAGCGCCACTTTCCAAACATCTTTTTAAAATCTCTTCTTATAGTTTTAGATAATCATAAAAACTAATTTATCTCATCGGTTATTCGTAATTGTAAAAATTTTTGTTCATGTCATAATTAAATTTTATTTATATGTGTAGAATAGATGTATAGATTTAAACGCAATAGTTCTAGAACCGTCGATAATAGTAATGACGATACATTATAGTCAATTGTAAGTTAAAAAGTATAAGGTTTATAGTACAGTAGTTTGGAATGTGTAAGGACTACATTTACACGCTAAATTCACCCTTACCCAAATCTACTGTAATCTTTTAATAAAGAGCTGTAGATTTGGTGGTTCAAATAAGCTACCAGATAAAAATAAAAAAACCGAGCAGGAAACGGTGATTATTGTTGAAGAGAAACTAGCCATAACGGTACTCCAATTAGATATATGCTTAAAAATGAATTACAGATACTTCAATAACTTGAAAACGAACGGAACGCGTAATTAAAACAAATTACACATATTAAAATATGCAAAGTAAGATAAAAAAATATTTATGTTTACTTACATTAAAATTATGTACATGAAGATAATTAAAAAAAATCGTAGTAACTTTTATAAGCCATAAAATATAAATATGTAAATGAAAAAAAGCGATGAAACGATTATCACTTTGTTTTTGAAAAAAAAAAAACATACTATTATCGATAAAGGAACATAATATTTATTCTTTATTTCAGCCCTTCACAAGTCCACCGCTGAACATAGGCCTCCCCCAAGAAATGCCATAAAGCACGGTCCTGAACCATCTGTATCCATCGACTTCCTGCATATCTTACCAGGTCGTCACTCCATCTAGTGGGGGGACGCCCTACACTTCGCCTGCCGGTACGAGGCTGCCACTCGAGAACCTTTCTTCCCCATCGGTTGTCGGTTCTTCGAGCTATATGGCCGGCCCATTGCCACTTCAGCTTACTAATCCGTTGGGCTATGTCGGTAATCTGGTTCTACTGCGGATATCCTCATTTCTAAGTTTATCACGTAGAGAAACCCCGAGCATAGAACTCTTCATAGCTTGCTGAGCGACCTTGAGCTTCCTCATACGGACAGCAGTGAAGGACCACGTCTCAAATCCATAAGACATCACTGGCAACACGCACCACGTTTTACAATCTTGTTTTCAAGTTTTGAGGTATACTTGACGAGAAGATGTGTCGTAATCTTCCGAACATTGCCAGCTGAGTTGAATCCGTCGATTGACATCTCGGTCGAAGTTGTATTTACCTATTCTATTTGTCCCATGTAAACATACTCGTCAACAACTTCGAGCTTAGTGCTCCCAACAACTACTGGCATAGGTGTGATATTATGAACGTCACACATCATGATCTTCGTTTTTGTCCATGTTCATCTTAAGACCAATCCGTTGGGAGGCACTATTGGGGTCATCGAACATAGTGTTTAACTCCTCCTGCCATAAGAGCGTGAGTGATGTATTCGGCATTGACACTAATACCGAATCCTTTCCAGTTCAGTATCTTGGAAACGTCTTCCAATACAGCGGTGAAGAGTTCCGGTGATATAATGTTACTCTGTCTTAAGACCTCTCTGCAGTTAGATAGGTTTCGTACTCTGGTTCTATATAATCTCAGAAAATTTAAATAATTATTTATTAACAACGCCAGTTATGTAAATATATTTAAATCAATATATTTACATAACTCTTGACCTGGCCTTTTCAAAAAAGGCCAGGTCAAGAGTACCCTAAACCGTAGAGCATGTATGAAGGGAATAATGAAAGTGGACGAAGCAAAACAAGTATGTAAGGATCGTAGCAAGTGGAAAGAACTGGTCTCTGCCTACCCCTACGGGAAAGAGGCGTGATTATATGTATGTATGTATATTTACATAACTGCCGTTGTGACTACTAAAGTAACATAGCTATGTACGTAAATCTTATTAACTTCATAGTACAACAAAACAAACAGCAGTTAAAAAAGTTGATGACAATAAAGAAGTTATTCACTTTGCTTATTGCTTTTGTTACATTATAATTAAAAAATTAAATTCTCAAGATGTACCTATTTCGTTGCCTTGTAGCGAGTTCAATTTTAAAGTACGTATGTGTGAGTTTGCTAGTTAGGTATATTTATACAGTTTCCGAGTAGGTACATATAGATTATAGATATACAATACATATAAGTGTGTGAAGTAATTCGAACATACTATCGTTGTTCCACTTTCGTGACTACTAATGCCGCAGTTGCGACTCATTAAAAATCTAGATTGAACTGATGACAGAAATTTTCACATGCGCCACGTTTTTTACACTTTGAAGTTACCCTAAGAATTACAAAAAAACAGCATATAAAAAGTTAAAAGTAAATTGTAAACCGTGCGGCCTTGAAATTTCAGTACAAATGCGTATTATGTCAATAAATGTGTCGTGGTCGCCATCGCAAATGCTACGTTTATTTCTTATTGATTATCTCAGAAACTACACGAGACCATTAATATTACAATGTTATCAATAAATATTTACCACGTGGGAACATTAAAAGAGCGATGTCAATAACTATCATAATATTGTGGTTAACAGTAGTCATAACCGTAGCTATAAAGTGAACGCGCGCAGAGAAATAGTTAAAAAAGACAGCTGTTAGAGTAGATGAGGGCGCCTCGAGCACAGAGTGCTCCCGGCCGCGGATGCAGACACCCACCCTTGCAGCGGGAGTTGCGCCGGCCGCGCTCGGTTGGACGATCGCTCATCGCGAACGACTCCTTGAAATGCATCTTCCAACTCCGCTCCGCACCCCATCCACATGCACGTGTCTCATCAGCACACCGGAACACAACCTGCACACTCTCACCGGCACGTCACAGTCAGATTGTACTACTGCGGTACCGTCAGTCGCGCCGCGCGCGTATCGCATTCGCTAGAATATGACGCATTTTCGATTTCAACCGAATGTCGACGGCGATGTCGGCGACTTAACAACACGTAAACGTTTCATTAGGCGTAAACCGATGCGACAGTCAGCCTCGGGCGTGGACTGGCGCGCGATGCGAGCGGCCGCCGCCGCCGCCTCCGCCGCGAGACCGGACCTCGCGTCTCGGGGCGAGGATACGGGAATCGGCTTCGGCGCAATACCCGTCACGAAAATAATAGGAACAGCGAGTGCACCTCTGAAGCGCGACGCGACGCGGTCGGTGCGAGCGAGACGCGGATAAACACCAGACTGTTTACTTACGGTGTTCGAGAGCGGGGCGGCGCGGCCGTGCGGGGGGCTATCGCCTGCAATCCGCGCGCTGCAATTACTGCCTCTACTCCACAATTTCATCCTAACACGGATAACGAAATAAAACATCTGAAGTAACCGACTGAAACGCCTAGTCAAAACCGATCGCCATAACGTATGACACCTGTTTCCACAAACTGTTGGCGCAGGTGGGTTGGTGTCGGCTTATACGCTTATACCACTTGTGTTAACTTAACGAGTTCGAACGCAAAAGGAATATGCCAATTATCAAAATTATTTGTAGGTGATAATAGTATCTCCATTGACTGCATATACATTATTATGACATTAATTATTTTTATAAGGAATAAATGTACATGCAAATTAACATGAACTGTTTTATTATTGGGTCGAAGAGTAATCGAACATGAAATACAAAATAGAATAATAGAATGTTAAGTAGTGAGGCAGTTTGACGATCAATCGGAGAGCTGTGCATCGAGCGGTGGTGACTGCATTCCGACGCCCTGCCCGCGTCCCGCAAATCCTCACCCCGCGTCCTTCCGGCGCTCGTCACGTGACGTGCCGATTAGCCGCCGAGTGTGCCACCGCGACCAAAATAGAGCGTGCACACAATCTTACATAGCGTTCAACTCCACTGGCTCTCACGCCTCCTTTCCGTCTGTTGTCTGACGTTACCGAATGCCGTAGCCACGGTTAGCCGTTTGCTCCGGTAATCATTGATGCTTATTCCCTTTCAGTATACAAACGAATAATAAATTGAAGCGGCAGCGAGCAATAAAATTTTAATCATATTAGTAGAGGTCATGCTGATAATAGATTGGATAAGTCTAAGACTAAGTCCAGAAATAACGATAATTATGGAAACCACGTAATTAGACCGAAAGACCGTTAATTCTAATAACGAATGATATTAATTTTAATCATACTTGTTTTTTGCGTCGTCGTCGATACATCGACCATCATTTTTTTACGATTCATCTCTCGACCTTGTATCGAGTTTCGATTTCCGTGAAGTGCCACTAGCCAGATGACACAAAGAAATATTTATAAATCCATTTTTAAAACTAGTATTGCACGGTATATAACGTGGCGATTTAGGACCATTCGATTCGAAACTAAAATAGTACAATGAATATGTACAGCGACCCTATACTGACAGAGGTTTAGTTGACGAAAATAAAAAAACCAATGGCACGCACCCAAATCAGGAACGCAGTTCACGGCGGAGTGCCACATCTATCCACGACTATCGGGTTCGGAAGAGTTGCTGCGTGCCACCTGGTATTATACGACTGCGGGTAGCATTATTCAGTGAAACGGCATCCATCTCTTCTTGCCTTCGAAACGGAACGCACAAATTATGTATTCGGATGTCTATTTTAGTATTGTAGCTTGCGACGAATCTTTCTACAAACTAATTATTGAAACGTCGACATTTAAATGTCACATGTTATGCTAATTCAATCAAACAAATTATGTAAGAAATCGTATTAGAATCTCTAGTGATGATAGTTAGAATTTCAGTCAGAAAGAGCTAAATTGTAATAATGTTTTTTTTTCTAATAGGATAAGGGTGCAAACGAGCACAAAGTCCACCTGATGGTACAGTGATTGGTGTGGCCCATAGACATCTACATCTATCTTCGATTAAGAATCAAAATGCAGATGCGTTGTCACCCGTGAGGACTAAGATGGTATGCCTCGTTTCCAGTAAAAAGGGTCTCCGATTCTCTACACTCACCATACGAAACACAGCAGCGTTAAGTTGCTATTTTACGCTGGTATTCTGTGAGAGCATATTCCTTTCCCGGTCGAGCCGACTCATTCATGCTACAACCATAATATAGATGCAGCATGGGTCTACCACGTATAAAAATGTATTATTTTGTTTAAAACATATTACAATTTATAGATTTGTAGATCTTTTTGTATAACAGGAAAACATTTACGGTCATAGATATTCGTTGGTTATTGCTAACTTAAATTAAGTATTATTTAACTCTATACAATTATGTGTCTTTCTATTGTCATTTAGAAAAAATAAAGGAGCAACTTTAAGCAATTCTTATATTAAAATAGATTCTTATAAGTAACAGCCTAAATTGAAATTATACTGTTAGTGCTGAAATTAAATATTGCGCACTGTTCTTCTGAAACTACCAACAAAGGAAAATTATTGCGCATGAAATGAAATGTTAAATCAATAGCTGGTTTTATAAGACTAGACACAGACACTAGACATTTTACAAACAAAATTTTCGATACGAACAATATGCAAACGATTATTTCGACGAATCGTAATTCTCAAAAACTACATTTCATATAAATATCGATCAAAGGAATAAAGTCTAACAGCCTTTTTACAAAACGTGGTTTATCGATAGTCTCGCGTTTGAAGAAGTCTTTATGACGAAAGAAGTCCCTCAGTCGCGACGCCAGTCTTCGCGAAATTTGACATTAGTAGTCAAATTCCATACTTAACAATTTCGCTCACACATTCACGGGATTTTATTAGAAGAAACAGACTCTAGTTAAACCTCGATACACTCTTTGTAATAAGACGGTAAATGTTACGCAGATCCCATCGCAGGCTTATAAGTCCTAAATTGACGGTAATCACGCAGGTTTGTCGTATTTAACAAGAAAAAGACGACGGGATCAATACAGGCTGCAAAATGTACACGTGATCGCGTCACTATATAACCCCCTACCACCGCCGACCGCACCCCTAAACACCCGGCTCTTCCCCTTCCCTCGACGTCGACACTAAAAGATTTTTCTTTTTCTCCTCTACATTTAAAGCGTCACATAGTCTAACCTATTCTATGCTCATATTCGGAAATATATGGAACGCTATATAAAAAGGTAGAAAATCATAAAAAAAAAAGACTATGCAACAATATTAGCGGCTCGTATGCGCTCCGCAAGGACTGCAGTCCGCGAATTGAGAAGCGCGCCGTGAAACCAGTTTCCGTGGGCGAAAAGCGGTGAACCATTTGCTCGGTCAAATAGAATTTTATTACAATACAATACATTTTATCGACTTTTAGAGCGACCAAAGAAACCTTTTAATTGAAACAATATGAAGTCGAAAGAAATAAAACCTACAAAATTAACAGCTCAGGCGATCCTGATCTAGATTTTGCTTTAAAGTTTGAAATTCATAAATTTATGATAACTGAATAATATAAGGATACAAATTGGTATGATCAGTTACGGAATTAATGGACGGATGAGCAATATTTTATAAATACCAAAATAGAGTTAAACAACGGTATGTTATTTGATAAGTATGAATATAAGAGTAGTACAAAGACTAGTGGCGCGAGTTAGCCGTCGCGTCGCGTCGGAATCATTAGTGAAGTTCATGAATAAGTGAGGCGAGGGTGGTTAAAGGCCGCCACTTACTGGAAAGGGTTGACTAGCGAAATGCGATTCGGTGATTCAAGCGGTCGATAAGCGCCCACGGATACCCGGTTTGGAACACAGAATCTTGCGGCGCGTAAAATATAGGTAAACTTTTAACGAAAACTTTATAATCCCTTTTTGTTTTGTTTGTTTTTTTTTTCTTTAACCTGAAGTTGATATATTACATCTCACCGTATATGCATAAGTAAATTATATTATGAAAATATTATTTTTCCTTTCACTTTCCTTCTTATTCAAGTAGGTAATCTTGGTGGTTACGCCAGTTATCGGATCGAACATACTATTCAATTTGCAGTCGGTACCCTTAACTTTTAGCGCCTCTCAACGGAGACTAGCCGTCTGGTCAGGGCAGGATTATAATGCCCTAAGTGTATACATCATGATGTTGCACAGCAGCCGCATTTACAACCACTTGACCACCGAAGCAGCACGGATGAGTTAGCTTGCCTAGTGAAGGACCCACGCTCTCATAGACTACCAGCGAGAAATAGCAGCGTAATAGTTATTCGTATCTTCAGTTTAGGGAATTGTAGACTATTTCGTATTTCTGTTAGTAACAAGGCATTCCATCTTGGTTCTCAGCGGCGATACCGCATCTACATTCCAAGTTTTACTAATGCTTTCATGTACATGTCTATAGGATAGCATTCATTTACCTTTAAGTGAACTGTCTGCTCGTTTCGCACCCTTACTTCTACAATAAACACGAACAAACAAACTACCAAGTTCTACCAAGAGGCATGCAAATTTACAATTTCAGGCAATTATAATATGATCAATTGCCATTGCCAAATTAGAATAATTTTTTTTAACATTTTGATGACATAGAAGTAAAAAGTTTATATAATAAAGGACAATGTTCAAAACCGCCCTGTGTAAAAAAAGCATCGGACATAAACGATAATTAATTTTCTATTTTATTATATTAGTTGCAAATACTTTTATAACACGGACTAGCTGCGTGCAAAAATGAACATTAAAAAGTATTATATTCGACTAATAACATTAATCGCCGCCATCTTCGCCAAACATCATGTGTTGTCGAAAAATGATAGGGATGCCCAATCGATTGTAATCGATTTTTGAATTTTTAATGAACTG